CTGACTGCAGCTGCGCCACCGCCACTTTTAGTGAGTTTTGAGCGCTTCAAACACCTTTGTTTAAACATCTGCAAATCAGCGGACCCAGCCACCTTTCCGTTGCAGCGTCCATTTCATCGTGGAATATCTTACATGGATGAACCCTTGTCTAAGTGTGTGACACCGTTGGTTTGACAGGGGGCCTTTTGGTCTTATAAGCAGGGGGCCATCTCTCTCACCATTGGTGGATGCCAACAAAGAGGCCAATGTACACGCACCTGCACATTTAAGTCTCTTGAATGTCAAGTCTGTCAGACCTGGAGATGTGACGTTTTCGTTGTATTGAACGCCGGCACTCGGAGTGAGCATTCTTGTCCAAGTGCTTGAGAATCTCAAGTCAACCTTGTCAAGATGGATTCCAACCTACTATAGCGATGGCCTCCAACCTACTCTTCCCGTTTTACTCAGACCATTTTTTCACCTAGGTTGCCGTGTGGCATGAGGCATTGATTTCCATACGCATTTCCTGAATATGTGAAGCCCTTGGAATCATAGAGGACCTGCCTTTAATTTCTGCAGGGGGATTGCTGGACCGGGTCTGATCAACTCGGCGTACCTGCTGTTTTAGGCTCACACTAATGGAGCTTGGCTTCGTTTTCCCGTTTCATCTTTTTCCCCATCACGCACTTTCTTTGCCTCTTTCTTTTCACGTCTCTTCTGCCTTCATGTCCCGTCATCTCATCTCTTGTTCTCTTTTGTGCACAAAGTTCGGCCCTTAGCGCTTCCGCGCACTCTTACACTTAGCCAGGTTTTAGGTCGCCCAGGCTGCTATAAGGAGATCTGGCTCATCGGTTGTCCCTGTGCACTTGGTTCCTTGTCATCCCAACCAAATGCACTTGTCCTGACTTGCCTACTTCTCATGTTTTCTTTTTTGTCCTTTGTGCGCGCACATATGCACATAAGTTTGAGCCTCAGTTTTGACTTTCGCCCCTCCCCAGAGCGGGGGCCGTGTGTGTGTGTGAGCACCTTGGATTCAGAGATCACCTCTTGATGCTTTTTGACTTCTGGTTCAAAGCAGGGGGCACAGGCCCATCGTGGATACCTGTGCCAACGAAGCTGTTCCACGATAGGGGAAGCGGAGACTGATCACCTCCGTGTACCTGCTGAAGGTTGCGGCGTCTAGTAACCATGCTCTCCTCTAGACTTCAGGCTGCTGAGGTCAGGTGGAGACAGGTCTGCAGACTCTCGTTTCGAGTCGGGGCTCGATCGTCGAGTTGAAACTTGGAGACTTCAAGCTTTGAGATTTACTTGCTTAAGGCTTTGGAGGCTCTCATGCTCAGACTGCTTTACATACCTACTCACCCTCGTCCCTCAGGTTTATTACTGAGGCTGGCGGGTGGCAAACCGCATTCAGTTCCGTACGTATTTCCCGAGTTTGTGTTTTCCCTCAGCCAAGACACAGAACCGATTGGCAACTGCGACCCCAATTGATAGAACAAAATCCCGTAATCTTCAAAATGACCTTTTTGGAGTCGCCTAGGAATCCTTTACAGGCCCAAGTGATCTCAAACCGAAGATTAACAGGCAACTTTGAAGAATCATGGATCTATATACTGTGTATATACATATAGTTTTATATATGTTATTATCTTATATGTACCTGTTTTAGTCTATTTATGTAAGTTGATGGGATCAACTTTTCTATACTTGTCTTGTCTATCAACTTGGGGATCCCTACAAAGTCAGCAAATGATCGCCCAGCTCTTCAGCTTCCAAGAACATGGAGCGAGAACACGGCGGATCCTCGGACCCTCCGATTCGGGGTGTTTCAGTCCGGTGAAGCACATGTGGTGCGTCCAAGGCGAAGTCCTCCATCGGCGGCACCGAAATTCGCCAGAGTCTTCACGCGCGGAACATGGTCTTCGTGCGACACGTTCAGAGAACGCATTTGGGAACTTGTTCAAAGACCCTGAGATGAGTGTGAGATCTGATCTTCGGGTTCAGAACATTCTTGCTGATAGTATGGATCTCCCTTGCGGTAGACACTCCAAATAAACTCCACAGACTCTACACCCGCAAAATGGGCACAGGAATGGACGACTGCCTCTCAAGTCACCCCTTCACTGAAGTCATTCTACCTGATCTCGCAAGATCAGGCTGGAAGAAATGCAGCCTGTCTCACCAGTGATGCATCCTGTGGCGTCTCCAGTGCGTTCGACAAGAGTTGGTCATTTCTCAACAGACACACCGACCTGAACAAAGGCTTCACCATTTGAGGCGCTGCATCCAAGACTCTTGTGGCGTGCGAAACTTCTGAAGCGTCAGGGCGCCAGCGCGCAGGAAAGCAACGACACGTCACGAAAGACCAACATCTCTTGAGCCCACGCCAGCGGGCGGCAGGGATTGGGCCTTGCCATCAACAAAGTGGATGCTCAGCAACATTTCAACAAAAACACCTTGGAACTCAGTCAACCAAGCAAGCAAAGCAAGGTTTCGGTGCTGCAGGTATGCCCCGCCTAGTCAATTCTGGCTGGAGTGGAAGCCACCGACAAAAACAGAAAATATTGTATAAAGTTCTTTAGCAAGGCTCTGCCAGCCACAGCAGTTTGCCCAATCTAATTGAGCTCCCAAAGGATCTGCTAAAAAGATTCGTGTTGTGTCAACCCCTTGGGCATCCAAGTCACCCATCTTTATACCACGGCATGGCGCCCTGACCAGCCACCCGGCCGTGGACGTCCTAGATGAAAAAGATATCCTTTTTCAAGCAAGATGGATTGGGATGTGAACCTACCATGTTTCTCCATGTGTTGCTTGCTTTTAAGACACCTATTTTCAATGACCCCCAAATCGAAAGAAAAGGATAGATCCCCTCTCCAAACTCGTCCGATCCCACCAACTCCCGCGTCCGGGCGTGCCGGACACCAGCACGAAGCTGCAGAAGCCGTTCCAGTCGGGCTCGGTGCCTGGCCGTTCCACGTCGAAGGGAGCCGAGTAGGCCCACCTTTCCGGACAAGAGAAGGTTTTGGAACACCAGGCAGCCATGGCAAGAGGCAGCCAGGGTGTGAAATTTGGGAGGCCCCCTGGCACCCACCCTGACCCTAACCATGAACGAAACGGAGGCAGGCCGGGAGCCCGTTTGGGCAGAGTCTTTTCTAGAGGGAGAAGAAGAACTCCAAGATCTTTCGAAGACCACCCGACGAAAGCTTCCAGGGCTCGTGGGTGTCCTTCTGGGCTTTCTTGGCCAAGTCCGCGCACCCGTTCCATCGGAGCTCGTCACGACGCACCCTTCGGCTCCTCCCGCTGCGAAGCGACACCGGTCCGGTCCGGTCCGTGTCAAAACGGGAGCACCACCGGGAGCAGGATGGACCAGGATGGACCTCCCAAACCATTGGAGTGAAAAAGAAACGGAATGGTAAAACCCTCTTCTTGTGGAGGGTTTGAAGTATAATCACTCCTCCAATTTGATGATCTTTGGAGGAAAAAACATACCAAAAATGCCGATGATCACCCCTGGGTGAGCTCGGTGGATCGCTCTTCCATCCACCGTCTCTCGCCCGGGCGTCGGTCGGTCCCCCGCCTAGGGGAAAGCTGCTGGAACGATCTTCCAGGCCCTTGAGCGTCCAGCGGAAGAAGGCCTGGAGCGCCCAGCGTCCCCCCCCAACACGGCGGTCCGAGGACGGCGGAGAGCGGTCGGACGATGCACGAGGTGAGTCGGAGGATGAATAAATCCTCTCCGTTGCATCAGCCTCTTCACATGGAGGGGGGGGATCTACCGCCCCATGAGCCCCATCACACCATCGGGTCGCCGAGGCGAGCGATGCACTGGAGCAGCGAGGAGAAGAACAGCCGGTGGTACCAACCAAGATCCCAAAAGAGGACTCAGCAGTGTGTGCCAGTGGGTGGGCCTCATCTTGAACCTGAGACCACCCCCCCCCCCCCACCCCACCCACAGACCTCGACTCACCCCGCCCACAGACCTCGCAAAGCCCGCTCCTGGCGGCTGTGGAGGGGTCGCCCTCGCTCCGTCACCGAGAGCGTCTCCAGGTAGAGCGAATAGACGAACCTCGGTCGGACCGAGGTTCGCACGCGAGGAGGTCGGACGAGGTTCGCGAGGAGGGCGGAGTTGGATGAAACGGGATGAAAACACGGATGGTCGTCCTCATTGTTTGGATGAACTAAAGAGATCAAATTCTGGGATAACTAAGTATGAATAGACTGGACTAGACAAATATAGCCGAGTTGATCTGCCGCGCACAGTAATTCTCTCCACTCTCCAAGCAGGCAGACGAGTCAGCCGGTCTTCGGCAGGTCCAACAGCCAACCGCCATGCGGGTCTAGACTGAAAGAGCCAACGACAAGCCACAAAATTCTATCCGAGTACTCACCCTACCAATAGGGGGTGAAATCCACTTCCATTGCGGCTGTTTTCCGCACTTGTTCAGGAACTGGCATTCTGCAGGTGAGATTGAGATACTCCTGGTAGGATTTATATAGTTAGATTAGATGGATATGTCCCAAAAAGAACCTGCTGCCATCCAATGCCTGGCCAAATGAAACCCCTTCGAACACCGAAACAAAAACACCTCGCCGCGCGACGCCCAAACCCCTACACCACGCGGTGCGGTGCGGAAACGCCGGGCGCCCGAACGTCGTCCCGGAGGGATCCAAACAGATGGGCATGGCACATCACGAGTCAACGAGCTCGTTCGCCCATGAACCGCCGGGCTGATGTTCAGACGGTATTGGAAGAGATTCAAATCCTGAAGAATCCCGAAGTCGAGAACCAAGGAAGAAAACTCTGGCGCTCTGGGCTTTCTGAATCGGAGTTGCTGGCAACAAAGAGCGAAGTTACCAGAACCTTCATGACTCAAGAGACTCAAAAGGGGTTTGAGTCATTTGTATATATCAGGTTTGGGGGGGCCCCAAGATTCTTTTCTGAGCACTCCAGTACTCAGTACCATCGCAGTCTAACTCTACCAATTCGGTGTATCTCCTGTTCCGATCGCAGACGTTTCTCACTGTGAAGCGATGGAGAATGAGGTGATTTCGCTTGGAAAAGCATCAATCCTAACCAGCCTATCTTCCTAACCATCTATCCTAACCAGCAAACAGGTGAGAGTCAATCATGCCGTCTCCCGGTGCACCAACCTATCTTCTGAACTGTCATGGCATAGTAGTGCCACCGGTCCACTAACGCGCGACCGGTGTTGCGGGCGCGGCTGCGGCGAAGCGCGGCTGCGGCTGGTTCGACGCACCGAGTGATTTGACCAGATTCGACCCAGCAAGCGTCGAGTTCGTTCGGTGGAGCTTTTCCCAGTCTTTCCAACGAAAAGTCCTCACCAGGCATCCTCTCTCAAGCTGTGGTTGGTCGAATGAATGGTTTTAGTTTTGCTCTTGGGTGTATGGAAGTGTGTATTCGAATGGGGCCACCCTGGCCCAATTCTCTTCTTCCGGGGGGTCGTTGCCTGGGAGGTCTCCCCATGAAAACGCACATCCATTTGGGAACTCCTTGACCCTCCAACAACCATCTCCTAAGACTGGCTGAAGCCATGGCACGTGGAGGAAGCACGAGGGAGGATACATTTGGGGTTTACATTTGGGGTTCATGTTCACCTGGGGTTTGCTCTTCTTGGTAATTTGGGTGAATCTTCTGAATGTCCTCTTTTTGGGACTTCCCCCCATTTCCCCCAGCGCACAAAAAGAGAACACACCCCTACCTCGCCGCGGTCTGCTGTGCGAGGTCCTTGCTGACGCTCATCATCCTCCAGCTGGACTCCAGACGCAAAAGGCTAAGAGACATTGGACTAAAAAGTGCATGAAGAGATATGAAGAGGCTTAGGTGGATTTGGACTTTGTACCATTTGGTTACAAAAGTAGATCGCCTGGATATATTGCGAAGACATCCGGATTTTAAAGGTTTGGACTGTGCACCAAGCCTGGTAGATGGGCGTAGAAGTCGAAGTCGAAACCAGCAAAGTTAGTGGGAAAGGCCGCGAGCATTCTTTTGCATCCGGATTGGACCACACACTAGCGAATCGAACACCAAACCCAGAATGGGGAGTCTCGCTGATAGACGTCCACATGGCAGTGGGTCAAGAATCTGCAGCCGACGACAATCCTGCGGGACCCTTGGTCGAGCATTTTTGGACCCACCTGATGTGATATCCACCCCCCAATTTCGCAGGTTCTCGTTACTGCACCAAGTTCCACATGGTGTTCCTGGTGTTTTGTTCTCATATTTGGTTCCACCGTGTTGAACCCATGAGCCCGGTCATCTCAGTGAAGCTTCCGGTCATCTCAGCTCCTCTGGAGCTCCGCAGCCGGAAGCTTCTTCAAGATGCTCACGAGGGCCTCGGAGCGAAGACCAGCGTGGTCGGCGACGATCTCCGAGCAACCGGGAAGCATGGGAGGGCTTAGATGCAAGCAAGCAAGCAAACAAACAAAGCAAACAAAACATACATCAAACAACCTGAAATGTTCATTCCCATTCAAAAACCCTTCGAAGCAGCTGTGCTGCACAGGGAGATGTGGGGATGTTCGTCAAGGCCTTCCCAAAAGATGATAATAACAAAAAACCTAGGAATCAAGCAGGGGAAACCTCCAAAAGCAGTAGCAGCTCCAAGACGCTCAAGAATAAAGAAAGGACGCCAAAGAAGACCAGAAAAGAGGAAAAGAAAGTCAAAGGATCCACCTCCATAGAATCCATCGCCTTTGACCTTCGACCTCTTTCACGTGAGCCTGGAGTCAAGCATGAATTGTTCCTGGAGCCGAGTCGAAACCTGAGACCGTCTGAGAAGCCTCTCTGTTAGCCTCAACATTGGGGCGACATGGACTCACTCACGCAGGCCACAGCTCGCTTCGAGATGATCAAAGACCTTTCAGCCACCTTTGCGAGTTCACATTGGGAAGGAACTTTTCAGGGCGAGGAAAAACGTGTCTTCTGTCTTCGAGACAGCCAAAACAGGAAGATGGGGCCCACGAGTTGCCGAGTTGCCTCTCTCAAGGCTCCCAACCTCTGCCTGCTTTTGCAGCAAAGGCTTGGACTTTAGCCCGCTTGGACTTGGCGTCATGTCCATGGTCTTGGCCTCCGGTCGCTTTCAGGGTTTGAAGGGTCGATGGGTCAGCATCGTTCGGTTCGCGTCCGATCGCTCGGGACAGCGAACCTTGTTCCGAGTATTGCCCAGTGCCACATGTAACACTGTTGAGCTACCTGGTTGGTGCAGTGCGGGCTTCGGAAGGATCCCCCCCCCTGTGAGGGCTTCGGCTTCGGTGGCGTAAGGCAGTTTGTAGGTCTCTCTCGACAAGTTGACCTCCAAGAGGTCTAGTGTCTACAGAATGCCCAGCACAAGGGGGTCAGGGACACACTCTACAAAATGGGCAGTGTGTTGCCGGGGGGTAGATGACCTACAAGTTGCAAGCGATCCAAACAGTGCATGATACCTTCGGAGATGCAACGTGTTTGCAGGTCAGCTTTTATTCAACTGGCAAATGGAACCTTCCAGGACCCATGTTGGAGAGTGTGTCATTTAGAAGGCAGGCAGCCTTGGAAAATCGTCCATTGTCCGTCCTTCTTAGCCCATCTTCCCCCATATTGCCCCTGCACATGTTTCTCTACGAATGACCACAGCTGTCTACAGAATCAGTGCAAATCAGCAGGCTGTGGGTGCACTCAGATTTCCCCTTATAGAATGCCAAATCTCCAAATGCCGAACAAGTTTTCATATATTATACATACTGTATATTTTCAAACATGCCCCAACACGACCCATTCTGTAGAGAAAATGTGCAGGGGCAGGGGATCCCGAAATGCTTTCCCGAAAGCGGTTCTGAACATCAGAACGGGATTCCCTTGCGAAGCAATCCATGTCCGAAAAAGAACATTGGTCCGCCGCTTTGGTCGATCAAATGGTTCATTCCTCGTCTTCCCACAGGGTGCAGAAAAGTCCTGTCCTGTTTCGCTTTAGGATCCAATTTGACCTTTGAGAGACGAAAGAGGGATTGCCCTTCCCCACATCAAAGAATCTTCTGAATGATCAAATCCCTAGAATCACATGGCCGAACCAAATGGGTCTTTTAAGATGCTTCACGGCAAAGGAATGCCAAGTCAAAGGTGCTCCTGCTTCAGATGCTATCCCGCTCTGAGGGGATGAGTCGATCTATATAGTTTCCTGACAGGGACGCACCGACAGATTCCTGGAATTCCGATGGTGGAAGCTCTGTTCTCCACATCTCCACCTTCCACAGGATCTGTGGAAAAGTGGGAAGAAAGGCCAAAAACTAACAGTTGTCGAGAACCCCCACCGCCCATGTTCGAGAACCCCCACCGGCGAGAGGAGCGCCAACATGTCGCAGCTATGGCTCTCGCTGTTTGCTCAATCGTCTGGGTAGATAGCACTATGGCACAGCCATGCGTGATGAGATGATGCTACGAATGATACTGTATCCCTGAGTGAACTAGATGAAAGCCGAGTTCAGCATCCACTCAAGCTCACCATGAGACAAGCTAGCTTGAGACAAGCAGTTGTTCCACCGTTTTTCCACCTACCAATTCTCCTAGTCATGCAGAGGTCCACCGTCCATCGCCAGAACTGACCCTGAAAAGTGGAAACCCCTCCGCCTTCGTCTATTCTGCTCATGTTGCTCCAACCGGTCCGGCCGAGTCGCCCCTTTTTTTCGTCCGACCTCCGCTCCACAACGCCGGCCGAGCCCGCGCGGACCGGTCAGAGACGAGCGTTCCCTGGCGGGGGGGGAAGGGAGGGAGGGAAGGTCCTGACCTCGAAAAGAAGACCATTCATTCTGGAGAAGTCCATCTGAAAATCAACTGATATTAATGTCAAGTCCATCTTTTTGGGGTCTGAAAATGACTTTTCATGTGCTGCTGGATTTGGGAGGTCTTGATTCATCCGTGAAGAAGAATGTCCAGACAGGTGAGCCCATAGCAAGAACTGTTGCACCTGATTTGGCCCGTGTTCTAGTGCCTCATCACTGCTTGACTGTGGGTAGATGCCCTCACGTCCATCTTTGGCTGGTGAATCTGGTCCAATTCCACCACCCAACCACCGCAAAAGTCGAGATCCCCATCCCGGCCCGTGCTCAACTTCCAGCTGGGCCATTCATGACCGGCCCTCACAACCGAAGGCTCCCCACCCTGGAAACCACCGCCCTGGACCTCGCCTGAGACGACATCGATGAAGCCCACGCAAAAGGCGCCGAACTGCGTCGAGTCGTCGTCGATGGGTCACTGATCTTGTTCCACTGGAGTTCAGCTCTTCAAGTGGTGGGTCAGGTGTTGGATCCCACTGAGAAACTGTCCAATTCTCACAAATCACTTGACAGTCGAAGTAAGCAAGGGTTCAACAACAAAGCCCTAAAGTTCATGTGATGAGTCTCAGATCACAGTGCTCACAGATCTTCTCTACAGTTTCATGGTATCCGCATCAGACGCCAATCCTTAATCCATACAACCCACTCCCAAGTGGCGCCAGCGCATTGAGGGAAGCTGCTCGCGGACCTTGCCGCAAGGATAAGACCTGGGAGATTACCAAAAGACCAGGAGGGAACGAAGAGACCCCACATAGATGGCACCACTTGTTGTCTTCGAAAGAAGTTGAGGAGACGTTGAAACTCAAAACAATACAGGTCAACAACCACATGAGTAAGAATGTAATCCCAGATTGTAGATGGGTGTGTATTGAAATAGGGAGGCCTCCCAGGCAACGACCGCCTTTTCAGGACAAGAACCACCGGTCTACCCACCTCGTCACCCAGGTCGTCCACCTTCTGAAGGGTGGGAGTCGACGAGATCGTGGGACTCCGGGCGCCGGCGGTCAAGAAGCCACAGCAGGCCGCATCCACCGAAGACCTAGCGCCTGGGATCGGCTCCGGCTCGCGGGCGGGCGGGATGGAGCGTGAGTTCGGCAGCCTTTCACTGGTTTGAAGAGGGAAGTGTTGGGGATGCATCTCTCATCAAGCGGTCTGTGAGTTGTTTTGGGATGAAAGATTCTGGACCCCAACATTTCCAGGTGATTCGCTTCAGTGGGTGACGCATGGTCCCTATGGTGAAGATCTGAGCGTGACTCATGCCGGTGGAAAACACACGCGCCGATGGAAGTCTTTCCACCCCTCCAAGGTGCCCAATCCTCTACCCTTGGGAACATCAATATTTATATGTTCAAATGATCTTAATAGCTCTACCAGGATCATTAACATTCAATAATTCATTAGTAACATTAGTAACTTGCTTTATATTATGTGTTCAAAACAGCTTTGGGATGCTTCCTGGACCCCATTCCTTTCTCCAAACTGCTGGCTCATGCGCCTTGTGGATCTAGATGCCGTTGGGAGACCTGGAAGCACTCAATGGAGAGTCTTTCAAACCAAACCATCTCCAACCGCATCACAAGAAAGCACTCTGCCCTGGTTCAAGATAGGAGACCTTCCAACCCACATGGCTCGAACCTGATCGGCCATCGTAGAAACCATTGGTCCCCCGTCACCACCCACCGTGAATCCGTCAACCAGGTGTGAACACTACCCCCTGTGTTCTAGAGGTTCCTAATGGTGGAATAGCGCTCGAACGTAAATGCTGTGCAACCAGTCGCAAACTCTTGTGGTTGAGGCAGGTACCGCAGTGGCCAAGTATATCACTGCCCTGTCACCACTGTCAAGTCTCTCTAATTAGCCTGATGGATACCAAGGTTAACTAGCTCTTCTCCACTTTGCTGCTCGAAGCAGCCATGTTGCACTTCCACAAGCTAGCCCAGACTGAATGAAAGAGGCTGGTCTACTTTAAGGCATTACTAATATGTGTACCTTCCAAACAGAGAGTTGCTTTTCTGCAAGGCCCAGAAGACATATCGAGGTCCATCCACCTCCAACACAGACGAACCTCTGAGGTCCTGCCAGAGCGGGACAAACAGTCACCTGAGCTCACCTTGTTTCATAGGCCACCCCCAATTGGCTGCACCAATCACGTGCACGGATAGCCCAAAAACACATCATACATGCCAGGGCCCACAAGGAATGGCTAATACACACCCCTCAACCTCTGAAGGGGCGATGTGAAGGGGTACTGGTACGTAATTAGTGTTCAAGATCCGGTGATAACCAATACCCTATTTGCTTCTGGCCCGCCATTCCCCCCGAAAACCTCTCCTTCTATGGCTGCTTGTGGGGTTTTTGGCGCGCCATGCGCGTGGCCACAGCGGCCATAGCGATGCCAGGAGATACTCGTAGCTTCTTGTTACTGGTGGCCTCCAACCTAGTAACGATGGCCTCCACCTGTGCGTAGCTTCTTGTTGCCGGTCAGGTCTCCAGGCCGCACAATCAAAGCTGTGAAAGAGCCCCGACCTCGACCGCTCGGTCCCGGCGGGGACGTTGGGGGCGACGAAGGGACGGATATCTCGCCAGCTCGCTCCATGGAAAAAGTGATGGAATCTTCAAGACTTGAAATGGAAAACGGTTCTTTTGGGTGCTACAATAGTAACCTTTACTTTGCAAATGTTTTGCACTTGTTTTCACTCTGGCTTGACCTGAGGACCGTGCCACATGGCAAAAGTACTGGCCAGTTGCGGTGCCCGCGTCTGTGCCTGGGGCAATCAAAAGGAAAAGCCTTCGTTGACTCAAGTCACAGGAGGTACTTCGGGTGTGGATCGCAACCCCTCATCCAAAACATGAGGGATGGATGAACATGTGGTGTCACCTACGGTGGCCATCGTCCATTTTCCTCCAGTTCTACTTCTTGTTGCCTGAAATCTATGGCAAACATTGGATTGGATGAAGCACTCACTTGTCAATCGGGTACCAAACAACCCAGTGGCAGTAGAATTCTTGACCCCTTAAGGCCCTTTGATGGGTCAGGATTTCCACTTCAAGCCTTTTCCCGTTCTATTGCCTCACGTCCGCAAATTTGGCATCGAGAAGGGAGAGCATCCACTGGTCGTGAGCCACCAAAACCCGTTGGTACACGTTCCACTCCAAAGGCCAACCTGGAACCTGATCCCGCTTTCAACGAGACATCTCTTCCGCCCACCCCAGCACGCTTCGCCCACCCGTCGTCCCGCATCGGTTCTATCTCCGAGACCCCCCCACGGCCGCGAAGGCTCCAGCGAGGCGGTGGCCCTGCGTCACGGGACCAGGGGCTCCCAAAAAGGGGAAGTGCCGGAGATGGATTCTCTGGAAAAAACACGGTCCTCGGAGGATGCATATGTGGCTGGCATGGAGATGGCCATGTTCGATGAAGACCTGTAGATGGGAGTTTTCGGCACATCGCCATTAGAATGGGAGATGGTGCCATCTGCTTCTGAAAAAAAGGCTCATCGAACGGTCCACCCGCTCAGTTTTTGCGGGGTGTCCCCTAAGCCCCCAAAAAGGTGTTGCAAGGCAAAAGTCTCCCAGAAATTGGAACCACCCACACACCCTTAGTGGTTGGAATTTGAAAAGATGGGTAGACCCGGCATCGAAGATGTTCAAGTTCGGCAGCTCCTACCATGCTATTTGGGCCATTTGTCTTACAGTAAAAGGTAGGAATGTCCAAGAAGATCCAAAAACTTCTTTCCCTGGTGCTTCAACCCTGCTGATTCGATTCCTTTGACCACTCTGATCTCTCCGATGCCCTTTTCACGCCAAAGCACGGATTCCCCCCCTCCATCGCTGGCTTCGCTGAGTGTTCCAGTTGCGAGTGTTGCTGGTTTCCGTCCTTCTCCCTCTGTGGCGGACCTGACCTCAAGCCTTACGCCACCCGCGCGCGGGTTACCCCGGGTGCGCTCCCCGTTGGGAGGACGTTGGACCCCGGACCGCCGGGACCGCAGAGATCGGGACCACCACCCCGGTGTTTTGGAACGGAGCGGAAAGAACGGTGAGGACCCATGGTCCACCCAGATGCTGGTGAATCCATCAATCCATCAATCCCTTAGTTCAAACGAACTTGGCAAACAATATGAACGCGCATCCAATGGTCAGTTCGGTGATCCGTCGGTGCGTCAGTGGAAATCCACCCATTTCAGAGTGGCCCGTGGTCCGGTGCCCATGTCCGCTATAGAACATAGCCCCTTAGAGGCTTAAAGCCAGGGCGGCCGAGGGGTGTTTCTTAACCACCTCTTAGGGGAGTCCTGGCAGGCCTTGGGGAAGTTGCGTAGGCTTCGCACAAAGGTCATACCTCGGGCTCGGGCTGGGAGCCGAGCGAACCGAAGTGCCCAAAAGGCGAGCTCAGGGCCGCTCAGCCACCAAGGAGTTCGTCGGATCCCTTCTGCAAATCAAACTAACATGTGGCCAGTTTCTTCAAAACGATCCTTTTTGAGGGTCCCGAGGTGACACTCAACAGAGGCTTAAGCCGCAATCTCAAAAAGGGTCACTTTGAAGAAGCAGTATAGTCTGGTCATGTAGTCTTGAATGACAGAAAAAGTACTTTTCTCTCAAGCAAATCTTCGGTCGGTCTGACCAAGACAGTCTCAAGACGCTGATTTCAGACCGAGGTGCAAAAGCCACCGCAGGCTCCGGCGCCAAACGCGAAGCCGACCATGTCCACGATGCGCTGCATGGGCGGGAGTTTGGTTTCGGGGCGGCCAAGGATCCTTTGATTCGGAAGTTCCGAAGTTTTGATTTGATCGAAATTTTACTTACCAAAATACCTCCAAAAAGGCCAACTCGACGTCAGTGGCTTCGATTGATGATTAAAAGAATACCTAGTTCCTTGGGCTCACTCTTGCGATGTGGAGACCATACAATAAAAACTGTCTATATGTCGTGCCAACTAAATGACACTGCATCATCGCATTCTGTGGTCGCACTGGGCGACTCCCGGTGCCAACCTGCCCATCCCAATCTAGTCAAACCTTCCCAAATCAAGTTTCTTGCCTTGAAAGACCTCCTTCCTGAACACAAAGTAGAAGAAGGCTTCTCTCAGAAACAACCATTTCACCCGGTTTTTGCACATTTGGAGTCCCTCCTTCCGCGGTCCCTCTCCCCATCTCATGGTGAAGCCCCTACCCCGCTCAGCTCAACACTGCGCCTCGGGGCATGGAAGGCGTCGAGAACCTTCTCCCATGGCTACCCAGAAGCTGAGCACCAACAGGAAACAACAGCCATCTTCGAAGGTCAACACTGCAATGTTACTGTCAAAACCGTCATAAGCGTTCACCGCGCTGATGGACCAATGTGGCACACCCTCTTCCAGGGCAATTTGCTGTCACCACATCAAAAATGGTTCGTCCATCAACCCAAACCATGAAGTTGTACGTTCTGAGGTTTGGGGTCCGAACCATGTGTGTCCAAAGCATCCAAATGGTCTTGTGCACCTCAAATGGTTCGAAGGTCTCCACTTTGCACAATGCACTTCAAAAGACTACTTGCTGTTGATTGGACACAATTCAATAGGTGCCAATGTCGCCACTCTTCAATTGGTTGATAAGATCACTCGGCAAGCGGCATGCCAAGAAAAACAGAAACTCCTCGTGAATCATGCAAATCAGCAAGGTTCGAACCTTCAGATGTAAAAACACTTGCACTGATCGTCTATGCACCTGTCCAGGATACCCAACTGTCCAAGACCTGAAAGGCCTGAAATCTCAACAAACCTTCCTGTTGATAAACAAAATTCTTGTTTGGGATTGAAAAGCCTCTTCATACGGTGTATCTTAATCAACAATCTATATATGCGAAGCTTTTCTGCTTTGGGCAAAATGCGCTCTCATGTACAAGTTTCTTGATTTGTGCGTGTCATCTTTTGATGAACTGTATGCTATGCTTCATGGAATGAGTAGCTCTGTTCAAGTTTCGTTCTCCTCCTTTGGGCCTTTGAGTCTCTGACTTTGGGCCCAACCTTTCAAACTCCTCAGGGGTAAAAATTGTGTACATGGCGTACTGACCCCTGCATCAAATCGCTCATCTCATCTCGGTCATCAGGCTTCGGTTTCCATTCCTGTGACCGTGACACCAATTGGCTTCCATTTTGAGAAGCTCTTCACGGGCAATCAGGTCAGCTCGATTGTATGCTCGATTGAAATGGGCATACTGATGTCTTCTGGTTCCCAGGCAGCATCCACTACCTCAAGTGCGCTCTCGCGCTCACTTTCCATCTCATGATCTGGTACTTCATCTTCTCCAGGTGTTGGCTCTGGCTCCATCATCGATGCTTCACCAGCTCGGCCTTCAGCTGCTCCATCCGCTGCTGGTTCAACATACTCCACTGGCACTTGCACAATCCGGCCGCCGTCCAGGATGATGACATGGTGTAGATCACCATGCTATTCAAGCCGTGGACCGAGGATGAAGTGCTCTTTCTTGTAGCTCGGTTGCCACTCCAATCGGCATCAGTGAAGCTTTCCAGCAACCAAGCTTCATGGCTATGTCCATGTAGACCTTCACCTTGAACTGGAAGAGGTAGTAGAATGTGCTGCTCCTCTGTCTCCTTGAGATACCCCACAAGCCTCTTAGCCTTCTGCATAGCCAGTTCCGTGGGACTCGACATCTTGCTCGCCAACTCCTTCACCACAAAGCTGATGTCCAACCTCTCCTGTGAGAGGTAGATGCCCATGCCGCCACCACATTGGATCCATCTGCGTCCTGGATGTCTGAAGTGGCAGGGAGCCTTTGCCGCCTCACGGATCCATACTTGTCCTCGAAGGTCTTGATCATCTTCGTGGCATATTGTCCAGGTTTCACCAGCAGACCTTCTTGCACATAGATGTATTTGCGCTTCAGCAAGGCAAACTCATCATTGTAGTCCTTTACCATGGACACCTCCACCTCAAACTTCTCCTTCAACTTTTCCACAAAGGCGTCTATTGACTTTTGCCTCCCAGTGAACATCACATCATCGACGTGCACCAACACAAATCAGCTCGCTGCCAGTGCCCTTCTTTGCTAGACACGGATTCCCCACATCGAAGGTGAAGTGGAGCTCATTCTCGAGGTAGGCTCTGAGGAACTCATACCAGCCTTCGCTCCGATTCTCTGCCCTGGGATGTTCTTCAGGATCTTGTAGTAGCCAGTGTTGGTCGTGATTTGAAGAGGTCGTTCTTGTGGGACTTGCAAGAACGCGTCTTTGATGTCCAGTGCACCTAGTACTGGTGCTCCTTGATCTCCATAGATCCCCTGGCTTGCAACGATGTTGTTCAAGAACAATGCAGGCAGGAGTCGAAGGGAGCGCTGTCCTGAAGCGGGGCTGTATACTTCATCACATCGATCATTGGCGTATTCTCTTGCCACCAATCTTGCCCTCCTCAACCAGCGTTTCCTTGTCTTCCCATCATCAGCCTGCACGTAGGGCTTTACCCTCCAGTCGTGGACAAAGCGAGTGGTGAGCTTGTCCAGGTGAGCGTCTTCCGGAGTGAGCTTCTCCATGACATTCATCCTCATCAGCCTCTGCTCCTCCACCTTTTTCGCCAAGAGGTCAATCTCCCAAAGCGGCTCAATGACGATAGGAATTTCTCCTCCTGCGCCCCTCTCCCCAGATTGATCTTGAAGAGCTGGGGGTGTACGCAATCCTCCACTGGGCTCTTCTCCTTGTGGGGCTGATGGTGCTGGCACTCCAGCTTCTGCAGTCATTGCTTTTTCATCAGGTTCACGGGCTTCATCAATCTCACGTTGGCTCTCTTCCAAGCCTTCCTTGGACAACGCATAGCGCTCCACCTCCTCAGCTTCTTCGTCTCTATACCTGAACAGGATCTCATCTCGAGGAGGTGCCGGACCGAGTTGCAAAGGGACTGCGCTCGCTGCCCGCTTGCTTGGGACAATTCGCCCACCGAAGTTGATCTGGTACTCGTAGGTGAAGGTGGCGAAGTTCTGGTAGCAGGCACCAAAGTTCTTCCATGGCCGGTTCACCCTTCTCACCGACCTTGTCAACATGACTTGGCTGCCATCTCCAACAAGCATGAATCCTGTCCTTCAGTCTTGCCAAGAGGATTGCCTTTGCCAGATTGGGGCCTCACAAAGGCATGTACTTAACAGTATACTGGACAGCCGAAGGGGACCAAAGATCCATTGTAGATCTTGCCACGAATCGATTCGTGACTTGTGATGCCCTTCGTGGCTTGGAACTTGTTCAAAAGCCAGCGTGCATGACGTTCCGCCCAGCTCCACAATCCATGGTTGGTATGAAGGTCAAACATGTTTTTGCCATGACCTCACCCATCAAAGTGCATGCAGCCTCGTACTCGTTGGATGGCATTCTCGGCAAGGGAGTCTTTCACCTTAATGGTGTAGAGGCGAGTTCGAAGTCCCATAGCATGCCTGCTGTTCAAGCAATCTCCACATGGCCCAAACTCTGGACAAAGTTCACCTCTGCATGCTCCTCCTGCTCATAGAGGTCTGTAAACATCTCCCCATTGCCAGGATCGTGGCCTGGGTCTCTGGCCATTGGTGCCCTGTCCACTTCGCCAGCCTTGGTGTAGGCAAAGTCCAAGGAGATGATTGGGATTCCACCACTATGTGAAGCTCCAGTTCTTAGACGTCGATCTGGTTTTCCTCTGTACTTCAGGCAAACCTCGCACCATGGCTGGTATGGCACTTTTTTTTTCCACGAGTACGGACGCCGTGTGGGCATGATGCCCAGGTCATCATTGAAGGAAGGGAAAAACAGTCAGATGGTGGAGAAAGGAACAAGGACAACCCAACCACAAAAACCAACCGCCAACCAGAGCCCAAAGGCCAAGTCTCCACCATCCTGTAGTCTTTCCTCTGTGCTAAGGTGAAACAAGTGAAACGATGACTACTGACTATCGATGGGCCTGAATTCTCGGACGAAGAGCTTGGCAGCGAGGGTTCGTGCTCTAGCAAAGTCTCCAAGAAGTCTTCAAATGGACTTCACATCACAATTAACAGTGACCAGCGGCCACTGCATGGTGTGGCCGTGGCAAAAACATGGTCACGATGCAAGTCCAGCATTGATATGCTCTAATGCAGGTTATATCCATCTCAAAGTGGATCAGTAGTTGCTATGCAGATCATGCCGTGGAAAATACCTTTCTCGTAGCACAACCCATTCAACTGGTTGCACTTACAAGTCAAGAGGCATAGTAGTTGGTAGTGCTCAGTCAGTGGCGGCCATAGCAAACGACGGGAGCCTGCAGGTAAGGGTGCGAAAGGCGCACCCCCCCCCAAAGGGAGGTCATCTCGGCACCCTTCGGCACACAGAGGTGCCAAAACGGGGTGTCCCCTATCTTCGTGAAATGCTGCGTCATTGCAAAAATTGTTCTGTTGCGTGCAAGGCCCGTGTGAAACAGGTGAAACAGGACCTATCCTAGCATGGTATCTGTACCTCTTTGTACAAAATTGGAAATGTCGGACATCAACAGAGGGAACTAAGGTTCCCCCTGGGAATCCTCCATTGCCACTCTCTACCACCCGCCTGTTGGGAACGAGGAGCTAAGGCTCTCATTCCTATTGGCTCACTGTATTGCGAATGGCGAGAAGAGATTGACGATCCTACTTAGTGTTTGCACTTTTCACTTGCTGTAGCTTACTGGCGGTGCGCTTATCCACGATTCCCGCTGCGAAAGCATTGCTGGTCTTTGGTGCAGGTTCTGGAAAGTCATCTCTCCATGGATCACTGGCATCGGCCGGCAAAACTCGGTGCTGTTTGGACTCGTCGAGTTACCCACATTTGTCAAGGGCATATGTCCTTAGCCATGTTTTTGCTTTTTCTTTGTTTGTATATTGCTCGAAAGTGCGCACTGCCTGCAAAGGCGCATGGCGCCATGTAAAGCAGGAGTGGAAACCTCCTGTAGAGAGGTACACTTGAGGAAGGCTTCTTATGCCGTGATCCTCAGTTTGGGACGGGTCAACAGTGTGAGCTGTTGACGGCTCGCACAGGCAGTGGAACCCATCCTGTTGTAGTCTGTCGGCAAGGCAAGTGCGGCAATGCCCGCCTCCAGAAAGCAGCAGTCCGGCAAGCATCGGTTTGGGTGCGCTGCATCCGGCTCTGGCCGAGCCGATTGCTAGGGCATTGAGTTGTGCCCTCCCTTGTCACGGAGCGACACTATTCGGGTACTTTAGTGCCAAAATGCTTGCAACCGAAGCTAACTCTACTCATGGTATTTGGCCTGCTGTGGCTTCTGGCCTACTCTGGACTCGAGCTAAGGCGC